TAAAAAGTTAAATATAAATAATAATATAAAATTAAAATATATTTAAAAGCTTGCATTTAAAAATAAATTAGTTCTAAACTGTAGCTAAATTAGAAAAATATCTATATATACAATAAAATATAATAATTAATAGATGATTTACTAGTTATCTAAAGAGCTATATGATATAAATTATATAAATTATATATAAAATCTTCAAATAGTAATTTAAAAAATTAATAATACAAATAGTTCTAATTTGTTTACTAAAAACTAGATAAAAATTATTACTATATAATTACTTAAAATAAAGTTCCAATCTATGAATTATTTATCTATATTCAATATTTAATAGATAATTAGATAACATGGATTATTGAATGGATAATCTGATTATTTAAATAAATTATCCAAATTATATACTATAAGGCAAAAAATATATATTAATGCAAGAAATGTATAAAATATGTAAGAAGTACATAAAATATGCAAGGAGTGTATAAAATATGCAAGGAGTATATAAAATATATAAGGAGTATATAAAATATACAAGGGTATATGATATACAAGGTGTGCATAAATATGCAAATGTATATAAAATATGCAAGAAATATATAAAATATGCAAAAAAATGCATAAAATATACAAGGAGTGCATAAAATATATAAGGAGTACATAAAATATACAAAGATATATAATATGCAAAATGTGTATAAATCTGCAAAAGTGTATAAAATATGCAAGGGTATATAAAATATGCAAGAAGTGTATAAAATATGCAAGAGTATATAAAATATACAAAAAGATTCTCTTACATAATCTATTAGATAATTTAATTAAATTTGCATAGATATCTAATCTAATCAGATAAATATCTGGATATTATATGTGAATACAATAGATGATAGATTGATCTGAATTGAAACTCTAACTCAAAATATATAATAACTTACTCTGATAACCAGAATTTTTTAATGAGTTCAATCTCTAATTCAAAATACTAAATTTATAGCTTACTTGTTAGAAATCATAATTTGGTTTTTTTAATAACTTTATATAGCAATGCTTATCTGTTTATTTAAATCTATCAATATTAAAAATTTAGATTTTAACAAGATCACTTGGTTTTAAATTTTATATATATTTTTTTTATAATCACTTGATTTACTTACTCTTAACCAAGTTTTATCTTGACAACTATACTTTATGTTTTAATAAACTTGATAAATTATAGTATAAAAATCTTTAATAGAACCTACTTAAGTACTACAATTATATTTATCTGATTAAATTTAATTCTTCAATTATGCCAACTTAATTAAAGGTTTAAGAACCCAATATTTAAAGTCAAGATTTTTATATTTATTTGATAGTTTTGTAAAATAGCTATACAATAATTATAAATATTTTAAATGATTTATTATATGTCTTTTATTTTTTTGATTATTCAAGTAATTATCAATAATTTATTAAAAGTTTGAAATAGAAAAACTGAAACATCTGAAGTTATACTATAGAAGATTAAAAAAATAACAATTATAAAAAATTCTTTTATAATCAAAATATTTTTATTAATCACTTTATTAATCAAATTATTTTTAATATAGTCTCTATTGTTTTTCTTACAACACTTTTTTGACAACAAAATTTTAATAAAAATTGACCACATAGAAAGATAAAAAATATATATATTTAAGATTTTATACAAATTTTTAAAAATTTTTGTTTTTAAATATTTGAAATTTATTTAATTAAAAATTTTACAAATAGTTAAAATATAAAAATTTGTACAAATTTTTATTTTTTTTGTGAAAATTTCTGACAGGCCTTATGTAAAACCCGGTATATTTTCATATATAAATTGTCAAATGAGAATGTTCGATTTACTTATTTTAATTTTATTAACTTGATTTGTATTCACTTTTGTAAAATTTTATCACGGCATTAGGTCTTTACGTTTTAATTTGTAGTAACTTGCAACAATCGTCACTCAAACTTCAACATGGACTTCTTTTTTTTTTCAGATCTTTATTTCTGTGATAGTTTGTGATTTTTTAGAATCTTTCCAATTACTGGAAATAAATCTAGTGAAATCTGATTTTTGTGGAATTCTTCGTACACGTACTTTATATACACCTACATCCAATTGTTTAACATTTACAACTTCCGATTTTTTGTCAGTTTCCATTTTTTTAATACATTTATTATTTCCGACTTGTATGACTTGAATCTCATAATAACCTTCATCAGGTTTTTCAAAATTTACTCCAAATTCATGACCAAAAAATATACCATGACTATAATTGAAGTCGACCTTCTGAGGTGCTGCGAATTGAGTAACTGTAGAATCTGATTTTACAATTTTACTATCAAGTTGATCGTCATCACCAATTGCTTGTGCAAAAGCACGAAATTCGACCTTTTCTGATGAGCTCGGTGATTCAAGTAAATCAGAATTTTCAGGAGATAATTCTTGGTTAATTTTATCCTGAGATTGAATATTGATTGTTTTTTCAATAGTTTTTCCTGTTTTAGTATTTTCGACACCTAATTTATATGTTTGAATTTTTGGATTAAAATCGCAAGAAACTACAAACATTTGCTCGTTAGATTTATCATTTTTAGCTGCTATTTGTATATTCTTTGGGAACGGTAAACTTCTCATGGTTTTAGTTGATTTTTCTGGAAAACTATTTATTGCTTGGTCGTTCGATACAACTGCATGCACTTCGGCTCGGTAATCTTTATCTTCCTCAAATTTAATTTCTTTAAGAATAAAATCATAATAACTTGATGTGATTTTTTTAATTATTTGCGATTCAGCTATTGCCTTTTCAGGTTTCTGTATATCATATAAATTAACTTTATATCCTTCGAAAATATTCAGACCTTCTGTGAGTGTTATTGGTTGATAAGAGACATTGAGCCTATCAGATTCCTTTTTCATGTTAACTTTGGTAGGTTTTGGAAGTTGTTTGAAATCTTTTTCAATAACAGTAACTGGTCCGTCAAAAGTGTCTATTCTGTCTTCTTTCAGAACATCATTTGTTGCTCGAACCGTAAAAGTATAAGACTTGCAGGACGTGGAACAACGTTCTATACTTTTCTCTTCTTCAAGCTTCCAGATATCAAATTCAATGAAGGTTTCTGAAGTAAATTTTATTTCTAGAATATAATTGTTAACATATAGGGAAATTTTATATTTTTTGGCATTTTCGACGGAGTCCCACAAAACTTTTAATACATTATTATCTATATTATATGATCCTCTGATATTATTTACTTTGGAAAAAAACTTGAAGGATTCACTATAAGTATAACTCGAATCCATCCAATTAGAATCCTCTTTTGCAACATCCCTCACACGAATGAAGTGTTCAGCTGTAAGAGTTTCCGAATTTTTTCTTATTTCTTCTAATTTTAAATACGGAATCTTTTTGAATGGTTTTATTTTATTAGGTGCCAAAGGGTAAATAACTTTATGATCACGATTTGTAACCTGATATGTGTATCCAAGTAACGGTTGTTGATTTTTTGTTTCTTCTATTAATATTTCAAGACAATCAGCATCATTTTTATCGTAAAAATATCTAAACTTTACAGATACAGGAGGCAACATCCATTGTATTGTTTCATCAGCATATTTAAATTCGCTATCTTTCCAACTATCTGCCTTTGCCAATACGCGTATTTTACATTCACCGCCAGGACCTTCAGTTAAACATTCCTCCGTATTGATCATCCATAAAGTGCTTTTTAAAGTGTCCATTTTAATAGTTTCGAAATAAAATACATCATCATTATCATCATTATCATTATTATTCTTAATTAATTCACAATAGTATTCTTGGGCATCCTCATCTTCTGAAATTATTTCGGTGGTGAGAATTTTATTATGAGCATTATATTCAGGCTTTAATTTGGTTGGAGGGTACAATTGAGGTTTATGCTCAATGTTTCCCTCTTTTGATTGCGATCCCAAATAAGTTTGACCATCATATTGTAACATTGCCATTATATATTTGACTAGGACTTTATTACATTTCACAAATAAATTATCTTTTAAAATATATGATAATTTTTTATGATCTGATTTATCTTCTTCTATATCTTCTTTTTTAATAATAATATCCTTTTCTGTCGTCTTTTTTCCAAAAATAATGATTGGCAATTTATAATGGAAATTTACGGCTAATTTATCATTTTCTGCATCTATCGGGGCATTCCATTGAATTTTTAAAGAATTTTCCAATGTGAATTCTAGTTCTGGAATCAAACCTTCCATTGTTAAAAACTTTTCTACCGTTTTTCTTATCCTTTTATCGATTCCATCTATTTCAGTCTTTTCTTTTCTAATACATATTTCTTCTTGAGATTGGTCACCAAAAAGTTTTCTTAGTTTTTTCGTTACCAAGTTAATAGAAGATTCAAGATATTCAAACCACTTCCCAGTTTCTAAAAGCAAAGGCCCGGCTAAAATCACAGCATCACTTAATGTTTGTGCTTTTTCAACTGCCCTAACTTTATCTTCTATAAGTTTAATTTTAGGTTGCATTTTACTTAAAATATTTTTAACACAATCCTTTAGCGCATCTCTTGTTTGATCATTTACTTTATCTCCAGCAATGTCTACTAATCCAACTAATGCAGACTCCTTTAGTTTTATTAAAGTTTCAATACTTAAACCTTCTAAGAAGGTAGCAAATTTTTCTGGGTCCTTTAATAAAGTTTCTCTGAGTATCTCAGTATTTTCTTGTAGTTTTTCTTTAAAAAGGTTTAATAAATATTCGAAAATATTGTCAAAATCAATATTTTCTGGATAGTTGATATCCAATCGAATGGGTGGGGAGATTTGAATATTATCAATCGGAATACTTTTATTTGTCTCACTTTCGATTATTATTGAATAATTTCCTTCAAGAGAAAAGGAAATTAAATTTTCACTTTGAGTTTCGAGTTGCTTTAAGAACAATGTAAATTTTCCTATGAAAGTTTCATAAAGTTCAAGACCGAAAATAATTTGGCTCAAGTTTGCTGATGCTTTTTCAATGAGTCTTGCAAATTCCATTGGCTTCCATGATAATTCATAAACACATGGCCATTTTGTAATCATGAATTTGTTCAGTTCTGACCAATATCCTGTGATTACTGGATTTGTTATTCCAAGAACAGGTTTATCGTCCTTTATAGTAACATCTCCCTTAAAACTTTGTGTGTTTATGTCATATTTGAATTGAAATTCGGCAGAGGTTATTTCAAATAATTTGAGAAAACCTTCTGCGTCAATGCTATTGTTTTTACTATTAATTGATAACTTGAATTTAAATAGTTTAACAAATCCCAAATTTATTTCCGAGTCATTATCGACATAAATCAATTCAATTTTTTTTCCGTGATTAAAATTTGCAAATACTTTGAGATCTTTCAAGCCAAAGAAATCTATATGTGCCTCAGCATAGAGTCCTTCAGCATAAACTTTTTCACCAATTTTTATTTCTTCCTTGGAATTGGAATAATATAATTCTCCACAACAAAAAGTGATAGACGGAAGATCTTTTGGCCATTCTAACTTATCGCCAAAGAATGTATGCAATATATGTGCAATTCCGACCTTCTGACTGATGTCAATGCTTAAAATATGAGGTATTCCATCTGAAAATAGTATCCTTCCATCTAAAATTATTTCTTTTGAAAAATTGATTTTACCTTCTAGAACGTATTTGTTTTCTCGAATCATTCTGCCAAATGTTGTATTGTCATATTCGAATGATATTGAAAATTTAACAATATTTAAATTTAAATTGCAAATTCCAAATAAACATTTAATAATTGGTGGCAATGATTCTACCTTGAACAAAGAATTATTTTGACTAATAATTAATTTCCCTTTGACAGTAAGATCCATGTCAAGATCTTTGAAATTTAACTTCCCGCCAATACTTAATTTAGATAATTCATAATTAATATCACTTGGCTTGTAGGAAAATGTAATAATTTCAAATTTTAATCCACCAAACAATATTAGATTACTAATTGCCGCTTTAAATTCACTATTAGCTAAATCACTAGTGCCCAAGTATGATGCAACTTTAATTTCTGGTAAATCGGATTCAGGAAAAATGGTGGCAAGAAAATTTTCTAGTAAAATATATTTGGAGTTATGATTGATTTGATTATTCTTTATTTCTGAATATAAATTTACGCCTTGTTTTAATGTAGAGTTGTAAACGTCTTTCCTATCCAGCGGCAATTTAATTGAAATAATATCATCCAAGTTCTCATAATCTGGTCTTTTATCATTGAATTCTTTAATTATATTATTTGCTTCCTCCTCAATCTGATTAAGTATTGCATTTTGATCTGATACAAGTACGAGGTTTCCACGCGTTAAAGGTAGTATCATATCTACATTTGATGCTATAGACGAAGTAAATAAGTCTTCAAATTGAAAATCTCCAAATGTCTTTAACGCAAATATATATCCCCATTTTTCCTCTGTTGCATAAGGTAAAATATTCATTACACTCAATGAGAGCTTTGCATTCAATTTTTTAACTAAAAGCAAAGCATTCCCTATCGATTCAATTGTCACATATAAAGCTACATCTTTCTTGGAAAGATGAATATAAAGGTAGGCTTCTGAATTAGTTGATTTTACAACAAAATTCGGTGATTTCATTTCCTTAGGTTTTCTATTTTGCCATTTATCATCACTTTCACCGTTTAATTGTAAAAGTGTTTCAACAACATTGGAAATTTCGACAGAATATTCATTTTCAGTAGCATATATATCGGCAAAAATTGTATCATCGTTATCAACTTTTGATTTCACAATTACCAATTTAAGTTTTGTTCCGTCAATTAAAGTAAATATCCCGTCTAGTGACGCTTCGTATTTTTTAACTTTTGCTGCTTTATTATAACTAATTGACACCCCCATAGGCTTTAATTTAATTGAGGGATTTTCTATAAGTGTAAAAGATTCTTCATTTTGTGTTGATATCCTAAATTCAGTTATTTGGAGCTTTGCTGATATTGTTACGGGATATTGATACCCTTGAACGATCAGAAAATTCTCAAACTTTGGTAAGTCTGGTAACTTTGGTAGTAATTCTTGTAAATCAGGTTGATGGCCTGTTAAAAGCTTTAGAAAATCTGATAATAAAAGGGGTTTCTGAAATGAGCTAATCTCAATGTAGGCTTTTACAAGTTCATTATCATATTCGGTATCGCAATCGATTACTATCATTGCACTAATCTTATTATCAGCTACTTGTCGAGAGATAGTTGCCTTTAAAGCAAATACTATTTCAGATGAAGGTAATTGTTGACTATTAACTTGTGTATCAAAAATGTGGTAATTATTTGCTTTCTTATATTTAAATATTAAGTCATCGAGATTTACTTTTGCAAAAGACAATTTTTTCATCAATGCAACTGAAAATTCTTCGATGTAAATGTTATTCATGTCAATATTAATGTTCAAATTAACAGATATAATTTCTGAATCACATATTTCATTAAACATTGAATTTCCAGCAATCTTTGCTGTAGTCAACAAATCAACAATTTCTTTAAGTGTTTTACTTTGTGTAGGAACTAAAGTGCCCTGCATTTTGCATTTTTCATTGTCATAACTTAAAATCGCAACTAGCGTATCAACTTTGCCTTCGATGCTAAATTTCCATATTGCTGAATCAGTATTATTTCTTGATGGAGAATACGAAATGTTTGCCTTCAAATGATCAATTGTTAAATGCCCCAACTTAAGGTTCTTTGTCCAAAGAACGATTGATAATTCTTCAATAATAAAATCGGAATTATCTGAATTAACCAAATCAACATCAATTTCTAAAATTTTTGCGTATTTAAATAAGTCTTCAAACTCAGATATATCAAAAACGTTTTCAAGCTGGAAAATATTAAGAATCATTTCAAAAGTTAGATGTTCTGAAAGATTTTTGATTAACAAATTTCCAACGTTATTCTTAGTTGGTGACATGTATTCTATGAAACAATCGTAAGTTCCAACTTTTCCAATTATTTTAGCTATGCTTTTAATTTTTCCAATCCATTTTGCATCATAATGTTCTAAATCTATAGTCACATCTTTAACTTCAATAACGCCTGCTTTAATTATAAAGTTCGAAATCGTGATCCCAAGTTGGAAATCGCTATAACTATGACAATTTTTTATATACAAATCAAGATATTTGAACTTTGCAGACTTCAATTCATTTTTTATGGAATTCCACAGAATTGGTGCAAATTCATTAAGCCCTTCGAATGTATCATATAAATCAATGGCATTCAATATTTCATCCAACTTTATGGTAATGTTGCTTTCATCTAAGCTTTGTGGTTTAATAGAAATCATGTATTGAGTTAAAGTGTAAGGTTCTGAAGGTTCCACCTTTTTATCGTATAGATAAGAAAGATTTGCTAAAAGTTTTTTATCCTTTGTGATTAAAAGATAAAATTTAATATTTAGACCAATTGCTATATTTTCTATTTCTAATGGATTGAAGATCGAAATGTCAATTGCTGTGTTCGTTAATTTTTTATGAATTTGAGATGGTATAAACTTTATTTCAGGAAAGTTATTTGCAAAAATGCGAATATTTTTAAGTTTATAATCCATTGTCGGAGGTTCTGTTACCGGATAGAATAATAAACTAAATTCTGGTTGAATGTTTTCTAAAAGATTACTCAAAGGCATATCATACAAAGGAACATTAAGTTTGTCATATGTATTTTCGTTAGTATTTAATGCTTTTGCGATTTGAGTAAGTGTCGTACCAGCATCAAATTCCATTATCAAGGATCGCATACTATCATTTTGTGTTAATATATTAACGGATTTAATATCCCTAATACTTGCACAAGCTTTAATAATAATTTTTGGGTTACCATTAATAGCACCCGGATCAGTAATTTTAATTTTAACATCAGTTACTTTTGAAATCAGAATTCCATCAAGTTGAAAGTCTAACACATTTCC